ACCCTCAAGCCTTTCATTCGAGCATGAAATTTACATTGGTGTTTTAATTTTTTTATAGTAGTTGTTATAAAAATATAAATTTTACAATAATGAAAAAATTTATTGTCATGCTCATCTAAATTAATTTCAACACAAATTTATTTAGACTATATATCATCATGCTGATCTACTTCAACTACTGTTTTATAAAATATTTTTATATCTAATTTAAATAAAAATATAATTAAAATTTATTTTATACTAAGTAATAAATATTTAAAAAAAAAAATCAATCTTATTAATAAAAAGTATGTTAAAAATATGTCAAATTTATAATAAGCATATTTTAAGCTACTTGATTTAAATTTATTTATTATAATCATTCTCTAGTTTAATTTATTGAATTTAATTGCATAAATTTTATATAAAAGAGATAAGGATTTTTCAAAAATAAAAAGTATGTTAAAAATATGTCAAATTTATAATAAGCATATTTTAAGCTACTTGATTTAAATTTATTTATTATAATCATTCTCTAGTTTAATTTATTGAATTTAATTGCATAAATTTTATATAAAAGAGATAAGGATTTTTCAAAATAATAAAAAAATTTTGATAGAATTTTTTATTTCCCAAAAATATACGAATAATGTAGAGAAAAAGAATTAAAATGGATAAAAGATTTAAATAAGATGAGAGAGATAAAGTAAACTTCACCATTGTCTACCACCACTTTCCACAGGCCACCATAGTTGCCAGCATCCACCACTGCCACCAACCACATCCTCCCACCGTCGCCATCACAGCCACCCGCCGCTGCTACCACCTTCCATTGGCTACCACCACCACACCTCCCACCTACCAGTAACCCTGCCACCTAGCTCTAGTCACTGCCACTCACTGCCAGCAATTACTACTTTAGGCATCAACTGTCCAGCGTCATCTTTGAAATTTATACCCAACGGTCATTTTACTTCAAACTACAAATAGAAAACATTCACTTGTTTTCTTTTTATGTTCATTCATACTACTTCAAAGTATTCATTTTAAACTGCATTCTTTTTTTAGCCAACCAAATAACACCATAGAAGAAAGTTGAGTGGTTTTTTTTTTTTTAATTATATTTATAATACTCAAAAGTAATAATAAATTAATTGATAAGTTTACTAATATATTTAATATTAAAATTTTAAATTAATTAATTAATTAATTTAAATAAAATAATAGTTGAACCAGCTTGTTTTTAAGGACCAACCTTGCCAATTTAGTCCGATTTTATATAAAACTGATTTTGTATGATGAATCAGATTGATCAATTGACAAGTTTATAAACTTGGAATATCGAGTAGTAATCCTTGAAGTCATCATTAAAATCTCTTAAGGTTTTTAGTCTGAGACCATTCATCAATTGGATAGTCAAATATGACTTGTTAATCAGCGATAATTTTTATTCATTTTTATTCTTTTTCTGAGGAGAATGAAATTTCCTTTTTTTGTTGATTGAAATGCTCTTGAAATATTTTGACATAGCTATTGGCATGTGCATTCCAAACCTCATAAAATATATTAGATAACACAAATTTTTTATTTTTTTAAATATTTGAAGAGATAGAGCCAACAATGAACACTAATGATGAATTGATCTAGACAAATCCCTAGTGACTAGGCCGGATTTGATGTGCAGCAATTTAAAGAATAGCCATGCAAGTATTTCAATGCAATAAGCTTAACCTGCTTGTTAATGTTCATTGTAATAAAAGATTGGGACATTTCAATTGATTTGAGAATAATGTAAGTATTGGAACTAGAAAAGATGTTGGACTGAGAGCCAGCTGTTATCATTTGATTTGGATTACTCATTGATAAATTTGATGAAAATATTAACACTTATATTACAATTTTTATATGGTATTTATAAATAAAAAATTAAATTAAGAAAAAATTCATTATCTTCTATAATAAATGAATGAAAGGAAATAAATTAGAGAATAAGAAAAGAAAGATAAAATTTATTTTAATTCACAAAATACTTGTATAAACATTATTAATTATTCACTAAACTTTTATTATTTTATTATAAAGTTTACTTGTTAAGTTGCATTAAAAAAATCAGACGGTAAAATTTTTTCATAAGAATTTTAACTAGGTAGATTGAAAAGTGTGTGAGAAGATATGCATCTAGAGAGATAGAATGCAGGATTTTAGTGAGAGTAAGCTTCTTTTTTTTTTTTTTTGAATTTTTTCCAATCCTCATTTCCCAGTTTGTTTGCATGGTGGTGGAGGGTCGTCGGTCATCAGTGCTGATGACCGAAATACCTCCATTCCCTACTCTGTGGGGCATCCTAATGATTTAATTCATGGTGGATCCAAAAGAAGATGTGTTTCAATTCAGGAAGGTTTGATTATTTAACATCCTTTGGTCATCAATGAAGGATGTTTAACTCATGTGCGAAAGTACGTCTCGGTGATGGGTAAGGGAAAAGAATTAATAGAATCCCTTGAGAAAAAGGATTTGACTGCTCCTTCTTTCCCGAAGAAGAATTTGTTGCCTGGAATGGAAAATGACTCGGAAGCTTCTTCATCCATTGGTTTCAAATTGAAGGTTAGCATATTCTCTAACCCATATGTTGTTGAATGTAATGCGGAAAAATAGGATTCTATGAATTTAAATTTGGATAAGACAATTCAAGATAAAGATTTGAGGACATATGAAGGAATGCTTATGGAGAACGGTATGAAGGTTTTACTAAATCCTGACAAGTACAGTTTTGGATTGGTAAATGATTGTTTTAAGATCAATCATATTAAAGTGAACTATATAGATCTAGATCCCGAAGATGAGGTAGATGCAAATGTGGTTAAACTAAATATGGATAAGGTATGTGAGAACATTAAACTAGTTCAAAAATCTCTTATGGTGAAAGTGTTTGGTAGAGGAATTCCATTTTCTCTTTGTAGTATTGAGTTAAGGAGACAATGGAATAGATTCGGAAATTTTCATCTCACATCATTGGGACTAGATTGGATTTTGTGTTCATTTTAATCTTCTCAAATTATGGAAGAAGTGCTCAGTGGAGGTCATTGGTTTGTGGGTGGACATATAAAGGGGATGGATAAATGGACACCTCAAATTTCTCAAACCTCTTTAAAAGGGTTATCTTCACCGATTTGGATACGGTTGTCTCATTTGCCTTTACATTATTGGGATGAGGTTAATGTTACAAAGATTGTTTCAAAGATAGGAGTTCCATTATTTTTGGATGAAAAAATGTTTAAATGTGGAAGATGAGAATTTACACAAGCATGTATTCGAATTAATTTAGACTATAAATTATCTCATGGAGTTTGGATTGAGGGTTTATATGGTAATTTTTTTCAAAAAGTAGAATATAGGCCACAAACTTGATATGTGCCCGGATGTTATAAAAGAAGATCAAATTAAGGCCCATAAGGAAGCACTAAATGATGGGAATAAAGTTTTGGGTTTAGAAGAAACGGTTAGTGCATATTCAAAAGCATATGGTCCTTGGATACATGTGAAGTTTAAAAGAATGAAGAAATCTCAAAAATAGAAATCTACAGTTCAGCCTTAGGTTGGGAACACTGAGAATTATTCTTCTCATGATCATATGGAAACTTCTAATAAGTTTAATGTCCTATCATATGGCCCTGAGATTGGGAATAGAATAGAAATGGAAAAAGTAAGCACTCATGTTCAAGTTGATCAGGTCAATTTGCTTGCTACGTATACAAACATTGAAGGAATGGTTTTGGAAGATCTAATTTAGGTTTCAGAACTGCATAATGTTTCTAATGCTGATCCAGTGGAAGACGGAGAGTTTGTTCAAAATTCTGGAAACATTGATATTCTGGCTAAAGAACTTGATGTTTCTATACATCAAGATGAGTTATTTGAGAAAGAAAATATAGAAATTGTCAAAGAAGGCAATGATGGAGAAGATCTCGTTGGTAGGGTTGTTGAATATAATGCTAAAATTGTTCCAGATTCTAAAAAACTATATTCTGTTGCGGCTAAATCTTTTTCATGTTATAGAGATTATGAATGATAAGGAATGCTTGATTGAGGATGGAAAATTTCAATTGCCAACTATATTTGTTCATCATAAGAAGAAATTAAATAAAGATTTGAATTCTTTTTGGCCAATCAAAGGCATCCTTAGAGGAAGGAAATTGGGAAGTATTGGTGAAAGTGATGGTGGCACCTCACCATTTATCTCATAAATAAGATTATGATTGGTGATAATGATAGGTATCAAAAGGAATGGGATAAAGGCTCAGAGTATTTTGTATATCTACGAATGGATGTGGTAAGTCATTCTTTTGATGGTGTTGTCTTGAAAAGGGAATTCTTACTTTATAAAACTATGGAGCATAATGATTGTTGTCTTGAAAATCAAAGCATGATTTGTATGAAGTTGGTGGAATTTGTAAAGATCCAATGGTGGTTAAAGCCTGAAGATCATTGCTTACATTTTATGTTTTTTTTCTTTTATTAGTTGTTATTTTTATTTTTATTTTAGTTTTAAATTAAGCCTTGTGAGTATTTGAATGATGGGGATAGAATATTGAGATTTTATAATCTTTATATTCTTTATTTTTTATTTAATCAAGAATTTTGAGATACTAATCAACTTTTTTTATTATTTTATTTTTTTTTGTATCACCTCCATTCTAATTGGTTTAAAATAAAAAGTAGAGGATCTTATTTTCTTTATGAAATTTCATATCTTACGAATATTTTTCTTTTGCTTAATTTTCTTTTTAATAAAGGCTTCCTTTCTCAATATTTTGAAAGGATTGCCAATAAATTTTTTCAACTTTAATTTGTAATAACTTTGTTTTCAATTAATGCATTTTGTATCTCTCAAAAAAAAAAAAGTTAAAAATAAATTAAAAAATAGCCATGCCACGTCGCAAGCATGCCGCCTATGCCTCATCCAACTTTTTTTTTTAATAAATTCGTTTAATTTAAATCTTTATAGTAGCTCTGTTGTAAAAATTTCGCCTTCGCCTCTATTTCTCCGACAATGTTTCCCTCTCCTCTTCTACTCCTTGTTTTCCTCGTCCCTTCCACCCCCTTCTCCTTCGCCGACTCCGATAACTCCTCCCCTGCAATATTCCTCTCCGTCTGCGGCAAAAACCAAACGCAAAACGCCGAAAAGTTCGACATCAACTTCGTCGACGCCATGGAAAAAATCTTCCAAAATATCACCATATCCGGTTTCGCCACTTCCTACTCCGGCAACCCCCTCACTGTCTATGGTCTCGGCCATTGCTTCTCCTACCTGTCCCACATAAACTGCCAACTCTGCTACTCGCAGAGCAGGGTGAAGCTTCCCCACTGCCTCCCTTCTACCTCCGGCCGCATCTACCTCGACGGATGCTTCCTTGAGTACTCCGATCGCAACGTCTCCGGCGACTCTGTAGACGATGAAGACGCTTACTCTTGTAGCAATACCACCGTCGATAGGAATACTCGACCGGTTTTCGCCAAACTGACAGCAGATCTGATGGAAAATTTAACGGCTGAGGCGGGAGGAAACGCGAGTTATTACAAGGTTGGAAGCGTGCAGGTGGAGCAGGGTGTGAAGGCATATGGGATGGCGCAGTGTTGGAGATCCCTGAATTCGACGGGATGCAGGGACTGTTTAGATAAGGGGAGGAAAAACATTGTTGGAAAGTGCTTGCCGGCTGATGATGGTAAAGCCATGAATGCTGGTTGTTTTCTCAGGTACTCCACGGAGCCGTTCTATTTGAGTGGGAATACCAGCAGCGGAGGGGATTCTTCTGGTACCCATCTTACTCTGTTTCCACAAAAATGTGAACTTTTTTTCTTGGTCATGAAAAACATTTCAATGCGATTCCTATTATGTTTATCTTTACGGTTTTTTTTTTTTTTTATCATTTCTTTGTCTAAAACTGCAATTATTTACTTTCCACAGATAAACTTACAGTTATCATTGTTGTAACTTCTGTTTTTGTGGCGCTATTGGTGTTTGGAATAATATTCTTCTGGTGGAAGAGGAGGTCGGCTTCTAGTTATGGACATGGTAATGGGAATTTTAGGAGAAGTTAGCCAATGTTCTTCAATTGCTACTATTTAAATATAAAGAATTTATCAATTTTTTTTTGGATTGTGTAACCGATGCAGATGAAGCCGATGAGAATCATGAGATCATTAGAACAATTACAAATTCTCATCTAAGTTTCAAATATGAAGATTTGATAAAAGCAACTGACAATTTCAGTCAGAACAACAAGCTCGGCCAGGGGGGATATGGCGCTGTTTATAAGGTAGCATAATCTTCAAATTTAGCAGCTCAATCATATAGAGTAAGTATTGTTCGTAATTCTGCTCTGTTTTAGCAATGTGTTATTATTTATAAAATTAAATGTTTATCTTTTCATAAAGATTGACAAATTGCTCTGCAAATGTGGTATCATTTTTGTAAAATAATGAAAGACGTATTCCCATTGCTGCATATTCGTTATAATATAGAGGAAGTCTTGTTCGTAATTATGCAACTTAGCAGTCTCTCATATGTACAATTACCTCCCTAACAGTTATCCCATTGCTGCATATTCGTTACATCAATGAAGATTTTGAAAGCTTAAATTACATGGTTATTATTTGCTTAAGTGCACAGAGTATAATTTAATCATTTAATTTTCCACTTGCAGGGGACTCTGCCGGATGGAAAAGAAATAGCTGTGAAGAGGCTTTTCTTTAATACAAGGAGCTGGGTTGACCAGTTCTTCAATGAAGTTACTCTGATCAACCAAGTACAACACAAGAACCTTGTAAAGCTTCTGGGTTGCAGCGTTGAAGGACCTGAAAGCCTTCTTGTCTACGAGTTCCTTAGCAACACTAGCCTTGATCACTACTTATTTGGTACCCAAAAACTCAAATCCATAAATATCACATGCAGAATAACAAAATCGGAGATTCTTACTTGTCTCTGCTCTTTATGTATCCAGATGCATTCAAGAAGACTGCGCTAAGTTGGCAAAGAAGATTTAACATTATTGTCGGCACTGCAGAGGGCTTATCTTATCTCCACAATGCCTCAGTAGTTAGGATCATACATAGAGATATCAAAGCCAGCAATGTATTATTGGATGAGAACTTTAGGGCCAAAATATCTGATTTTGGACTAGCAAGGTACTTCGCAGAGGATCAGAGTCATCTCAGCACTGGTCTAGCAGGAACTTTGTAAGTCCAACAAGCTCTTCTCTCACTCAGCTCGCTTTTTTCTCATCTAGGCTAATATGTTTTTCTTAAAGTTAAGCTTTGGTAATAAAAAAATTTACTGTTATTCAAAATTAACTCCTTATCTTTGAAGTCCATCTAACATTGCAGGCATCGATTGGACACAGCATGCATGTAGTATCTTATAAGTTTTTTTTTTTTTTTTTTTTTTTTTTTTTGGGAAAATAGTATCATATAAGTTGATGCTAGAATTTACTGCATACACTCATATGTTTTTTAGAGCTACTAGGACTCCATTTTTTTGTTAGATAAGTGGGGAAAAAGTTTCTACCTTTAAGCTCCCTCAGCTTTCTCATTCACTATATTAGCAATACAAATTTATTAATGCTTGCAGTGGCTACATGGCTCCTGAATATATAGTTCACGGGCAGCTGACTGAGAAAGCTGACATCTATAGCTACGGAGTCCTTGTTCTCGAAATTGTCACTGGTCGTAAGAACCAAAACTCGATATCAACATCAACAGAAGGTCATTCTCTAATGCAAGAGGTACAACTTTTATTCAATCTCCAATGCAACATGTAGAACTCTTATTTTTTCTCTATGGAGCTCTAACAAAGTCATCTACTTATCATATAGATATGGCAGAATTACAACTCTGATACACTAATCAGGCTACTGGATCGGGACCTTGAAGGAAAGTGCTCACAGGAAGAAGCTGTCAAGGTATTCAAAGTAGGCCTTCTGTGCGTGCAGGCATCTCCCTCACTGAGGCCACCAATGTGGAAAGTAGTTGAGATGCTAACAACTAAGTCATGCAACATGCCAACCCCTACTCAGCCTCCATTCCTTAATAGTCATGGTGCACAAAATGGACTCTCAGAGACGTCTTCTCTATCAACCTCTATGAAGTTCCCAGATTTAGGTGATCAGGCATCACTGAATCAAATTTCAGTGAGCATGTTTCAAGGGAGGTAAGGAATTTGAAATTATCATCTCTTGGATTTAGTTTATAGACGTAACTCTTCTTGACCTGTTTGTTGAGAGCTTTGACTATGAATTAAAGTTCTTCGATCAGGCATCACTGAATCAAATTTCAGTGAGCATGTTTCAAGGGAGGTAAGGAATTTGAAATTATCATCTCTTGGATTTAGTTTATAGACGTAACTCTTCTTGGCCTGTTTGTTGAGAGCTTTGACTATGAATTAAAAGTTCTTCGATTCAAGTATTACATATACGATATGTGTATGATGAGTTCACATCAATTGGCCTGAATATTCACAAAAAAGAGATTCAGTTTATACTGCTCAGAATATGGTGATGTTGCATCTGGCGCATGTTAGTAGATGATTCTTTTATTTGTTTGAGTTCTGTTTTTTTTTTTTTTTAAATTACAACAGCTTGTATGTATTTAAACACAAAATGTTCTCCCGATACTGTTTTCTACTTGTTTTTTTGTGTATATATAGGAGGAATTCAGAACGACTGTCTTTAGATTTGTGAAAGTGTCCAAGCAATAGAATGAAAAATTATGTTTTCAATAAAAGTACCTTTTATAAATAAGTAGGGAGTTGTATAAAAAGTAAAGTAATCTTAAGCACCCACGGACAGGAATTGATTCTGAACGTTTCAACATATAGCAATGGCCTGCACTATATTCCTAGCGATTGTGTAGGTAAGTAAGACAAAAAAAATGCTCATAGGAGAAAGAGTTTTTTTTTGGGGTAAATTTGGGGCAAAGCCCTTCTATTGAAGTAAACAAATAGGAGAAAGAGTCAAACACCAAAGAATTAAAAAAATAAAAAAAAAATCCATTCAAAAAAGAGAAAAAGGTGCTTCGCAATATTACACCGCCTCCAACTTTCACCATGTAATTTATGTGACTTTTTTGTTTTTTGTTTTGGAAGGGTGAGCTTATGATCCTGAACTCACCAGGATTCTCTGATGATATTTTTTGCTCTGATATTATCCATTCCCCTCACTAATATGATGCAAAGTCAATAAAAATTAATTTCATTTTTAAGCAACAAAACGCTTAAAATTTATTTTTTTAATGAATTATAAAATACTACAAATTATTTCAATAATGTAATTTTTTATTATATTTTAAGTACATCATATTTTCAATTACTTAAAATAAAACCGCCCTATATTTGTATTGCTGTATTATTTTAAAAGAGGAATTTGACTAAGTCAAAATCTTTCCTATAGTACCGTTTTAATTAAACAGTAATTAACAATGCGACTACTGCCTATTCAATTAAATTATCGAGATATATTGAAAAGAGAAAACTCCCATTAGTTAAAGTAGAATATTATGTCTTCAAAATTATAATTGTAAATAATATTTTTTTCTAATTTATCGTTCATCCTTTTTTCAAAAAAAAAAATTGTTTGAGATATTGAAAATTTATAGGATTGATAATCGATTAGCAAATTAATTCAAGAAAATTAGTGTTGAATGTCAAAAACACGTTTCGGAAGTAAGTTTTTCTTCACTCTTAGTACACATTTAGGCATTTAGCACCAGTGGGATGTGCTTAAAGTTAGGGCTCATTTCATTGGTTGATGTTGGCAAATATATTTTCTAAAATTTTTGCACTATATGAATTACAGCTTTCTAACACTATATTTAGGGTGGCTTTCTTATTTCTTTTGAAAGCATCTTTTTTGTACAAAAATTTTCTTTTTGTTTTACAAAGCTGCTTTAAAAAGCAACAAATATACTGTCACAAATGAAGCCTAAATTAGCTTAGCCAAAACCACATAATCAAGATTATTATTTGGCAAAACCAAAATAATTAAAACATGATATGCTTTGTTACACGATTTGAGAGTTGTTTAAAAAGAAATATCAATGCTAATCGAGTTAATGATAGGGAAGATATACAAAAAAGGATTTGTGCTAGGTATAGCATTGGCAAAATTCATATTTAATATAAAAAGTTTAAATTTAAATGTGAGGGTCAATCACTAACTAATTTGAGATTAAAGTCAGAGTCTTACATCCCATAACAATCTATCAAATCAACTATCATTCTTTTCAAATGGACAAATCAACGGTGATGCATCAAAAATCTCCTCAATCACATGGATCTATCATGGAACTACACTCTTGCACCCCCCAACTCGAGTATTGTGGAAGGATAGCTGAGACATTTTGAGTCATAAATCGTATTAATCACACTATCCTAATAGAATCACCAAGTCAAGGTAGGATAAATTTGGGCCAAATATGCTATTGATCAAATAGATTTCCAATTCAAAAGCTTAAGCCCATAATTAAGGAACAATCACTAAGAAACAATTTTTGTTATATATCTTTTGTTTTTAATTTTTTTTTTAAATAATTAATTGGAGTATTTTTAATTATTTTTCTTTGTTTTTCAAAACAAATCAAGTTAATATTTAAAAATGTTCAAAACAACTTTTCAATTGTTTCAGTGAACTTAAAAAAAAAATCATCGTAGGTCATCATGATCACCACTATCATCAACACACTTGTCGCCGCCTCTATGTGTTGATGACTACCAATACTTATCACGACCATCGCTACTATTATATAAATAAACTTATATAATGTTGAATAAAAATAAAAATGATAGGTGTGTACTCATATGTCTTTTTAGTTATTCATAAAATAATTGGCAAGTCATATTAGGTGAACTTGAACCTCATAGACCCACAAGGCAACTCAACCCCAAGGGAACTCGCCCCCAAAGGTTGCCAAGAACAAATTCAATAGGACACACATATGAGAGTCACCCCTTATAAGGACAATCAAAGGTTCTTACAAACTACTCAATTCGTCTCTCACCCTCCAACACAAACCTACCACTATAGATACTCGCAACTATCTTTAATAGAGCGCTATTAACCATGCCCACTATCTCAACTATAGGAATTTTAAGACGGTCTTAGATAAATTTGCACAGTTAGTCAACTATGGATCTATTATGTCATAATCTGATCCGACATAACCCACATATAAAATACGTCATATCATGTCGGGTTCTAAAATGATACATTTTCCATAGACTTATTTAGAGAATTTTTAATAATTTCTAATTATTTATATACTACATAGCCACTAATTTACTTCAAATAAATCCAAAAAAGTACTCATCAACAAATATCTTTTCATTTCTTAGAATTATATACATAAAAACATTTGTTTACAAATAGTACATGACACAAAATAATATAATATATATAAAAAAATCATGACTAATAAAATTTCTGACAAAGCATACCTATAGGCATATTAGAACCCATAGCCTCTCTCTTTATACTCAATCTGCCATTTGTCTTGCCCTAACATGAAATTGATGCAAGTTAATGTGCATAAGCAAACTACGATGACTTAGTATGCTACACTAAACCTACCTAAAAATTAACAAAAAAATAACATTTTTAAGTATAACAAAATGAATTGGAAAAATAGAAAATTTGTATAAAACCTTCAAAAAAAAAAAAAAAATAGTGACAAAATAAAACAATAATAGATTACTAGAATGATGCTAGAATCAATAATATCTCAAACTTAATGAGCTGATACGCGCGATGCCCTAGCTACCTCTTTTTCGTCTCCGGTTCTTCTCCGGCGCCGAGCTTCCGATGGCTAATAAACGGTTAGATCCCGGTTTTTTGGTGGGTAAGCATTCGAAATCTTTCAAAGATGCTTTGTCTGGTGTTGAAGCTTCAAATAGTTTTCCGGATTTTTCTACGATCCGAGGGTTGCCGGCTTTGTGGTTTTCTGATGAAGAATTTATGCATCTAGCCAAACCTTTTGAATTTGCTTTGGTGGGGAAATTTCCTATTAAGCATCCGGATTTAGACTCTATCCGAAAATTTTTCTTTAACCTAAAATTGTCCGGTGATTTCTCTGTCACTGTGCTGGATCAATCAAACGTTCTGATTAAGCTCTCGAATGATCTTGATTATGGAAGGATTTTCGCTCATAGCTCTTATTTTGTGTTTGGTTGTTTCATGAAAATCATCAAATGGTCTCCTCTTCTGGATTTGTCGGAGGAATCTCCTATCGTTCCTGTCTGGGTCTCTTTTCCTGGTCTGCGCCCGCATCTTTTCTCCCCCCAAATCATGTTTGGTTTGGGATCAATCCTTGGTCGCCCTATTCAAACTGATAATGCTACTGTTGTGGGTTCTCGACCTTCAGTAGCTCGTCTTCTTGTAGAATTGGATATCTCCAAATCTCACCCTGATTCGGTTTGGCTGGGTCCGGAGAATTTAGGTTATGTTCAAAAAATTGTTTATGAAGGTTTGCCTAATTACTGTTTACATTGCAAGGCCGTGGGGCATAAACGAACGGAATGCATTAAGCTTTTCCCCAATCTTTGTCCTAATGTCAATGTTGTTCCCTCGGTGGCTGATCCGAATCTTAATCCTGCTGGGACCTCAGTCAAGCCTATTACTTCTAATATTTCCCCTCTTTCTGCTTGTGATATGGTTAATGTTGAAATTCCTCTGGCTAAGGGAGTGATGGATTGTGATATTAATGCTAATGTGGTGTTGGTTGGGGGCTCACCCTCTGTTTCGTTGGGTGAGCATGATGTTGTATCTGGGGGTATTCTTGCTGTTGGGGATTCTACAATTGGAAAAGCTCCGGTCACATTACCTGCTGTTGTTGAGGTAGATCGTGATGGTGTGGTTGAGCTTAATAAATTGGTTGTTTCGTCGCCTGAGTTGGAATGCTTGCGGGTGGATAATTTGGAGGGAATTGCGGTAGGTGCTTGTAATCGGGTCCCTTCTTCTATCGATGTGGGGGTTGGGGCTCCGGTATCTGATGTTCTACAGAGTGCTTTGGACTCTGATGTTTCTTCCTTACCTGCTGATGTGGTGCGGTCTTCTGCGGCAGTTCTGAGTGGTGAGGTTGTTAGTAGTGAGATCAATCCAGGTGCTGGATTAGTTATTCCCAACTCGTTTGTGGATGTGCCTGTGAAATTAATTGAGACAAATGCTTTGGTTTATAATATGGGTGATAATTCTGGGGTGGATTTGCGTCTTCACCTCGATTGGCTTCATTGTTCATCGGATGCTGAATCTGATTCCTCTTCGGATCATGGTGGTGGTTCGGACCCTGGACATGACTTCAAAATTGTTCGTGATCGTCCGGTTTGTGCCGTTTCTCGTGGTAGACCCCGTGGAAGGGGTAGACGGGGTCGTTAGTTTATTTGGCTCTGTGCTCTGTGATTGGTTTATTTCAAGCTGATTCGTCCGAATTTTTTGGTTGGTTATGGTTGTGACAGGCGATGATGTGGCCGGGGCTCGCTCCTTGATGTTATGTATCCTGGCAACCTTTGGTGCTTATTTTTGATGTCTTCTGCTCGGTTGTTATCGT